AACGACCTCCTACAGATTCCTCTAAGAAATATCTTGGGCGGTCAAAAATACTCTTCCTCGTTTAAAGCGATAGCTCGTTCGCGAATTTCACGTTTCTCTTCAGACTCGTAGCTCCAGAATTTCGTCCCCGATCATGAAAACAAATCAAATTGCTGCATAACACAATCTACATTTGATTCTTTCAAGAAGACAAAATTGTCCATTTACGCAACATTCAATTTCAAACGATAAACTTTAAACGTACTTTAATCATTTACCAAGTAAGGAAACTAAGCCACTTTCATTTTCAAAATTGACAAGTCTGGCAACTTCGTAAATCATCAAATGATTTTTTGATTGACAATCCATCCTTCTTTTGTCTTGCATCTGAATGTAAACCGGTCATTATTTTCCCAATAAAAGTGACCCCCCCCCCCTTTTCATGCCTCAAATCTTTTCAGTAAATTATTAAATTCACCGAAAACAAATTCATAAGATGCCAGACGACAGGTGACAAAATCATTTAATGATTCTTACACAGAGGAACACGATTAATGGTTTCAAAGCCTTGAATTTTCCTAAAGAAAAGAAAAATCTTACACACATTCAATGGGGACCTTCACCAAGGTCTCAGATTTTGTAGAAGGGAGAAAAATACACAGAATACACGTAATAAAAAAAATTTAACATCTCTCATGAGGGTTTGACATTTGTTTCTAGAGGGAAGGCACAATGTGCTGACTTACAAATCAATTTGAATCCCATTTCTCTCTCTCTCTCTTTCTCTCTCTCAACTCCGTTCCTAAATTTATCCTAAATCAACAAATGTACCTCTCGTGTCAGCTGTTAAGAACCTTGCTAGAATTCTACTAATTACTTATTAATTTTTTTAAAACAACAAAATTTTTCTCAGAATACTGAAAAAATTTTCTATTGAATATGTATCACCTTCATATTTTAACACAAATCCTGTAGATTATAATAAATGCCACATTTATTCCACCTCTACTCAGACAGCTTCCTTCTGACAAAATATTAATCAAACATAACCTAAAATTTTTCAAGAAAATGTAACATTTACTTCAGCATATTAAATTTCAACGAAGTTATTTTCAATATTAACCATGAAATATATAACTGTAAGCCTTGATAAAGAAAGAGAAATTTTCCACACATCCACACACCTGAACAGACTGAAAATTGGGGGTTGGGGGGGCACGCCAAAATCTCACAGATGATACTCACAAAAAGCTAATAAAAATTTAGACTGATCTACAAATATGGATAGACGGCAATAAAAAAGTTTCTTGTAGAAACAGTGGCATTACCACTCTTAAAAACAATTCCATAAAATATCGTGAAACACTGTAAGGTCATAAAAAAAGATACGCGAAATGAAATATACTTACGCTAAGCAACAGTCTGTGTTCTGATACATAATACTAAATTGTTCAATATCACTATAATTTTAGAAGATTTGGGATTAAGAATGGGATTTACAGAAATTTTTTTTCAGAAAGAAACATCTTATAAGTTAAAAATCCTGTCATGAAGTAGGAAGAATTTTTGACAATTTCTTTTTGAGAAACATAATTTTATTGTCAACGTACAAGTAACTGTTGACACGCGCCAATCCTGCAAATACTCTCAAATTCCTAAGTTTAATCCACACATACATGTTCAGTTCGAGTCCAAATCAAATAGGCCTTGAAATTTCCAAATATCATCAATATTTAAATAAGGTTTCTTTCAGCCAGAAAAACTCTCAATCCCATTCCTAATATTAACTAACACCTGACAAAGTACATTCACAGTGGGAAGAGTCGCTACTTTAAATGGTTTTGTTTTCACTTGATTTCACACCGCGCTTCAAAACAAAATCTGCCCAACGACGGTCAAACCGACAAACAATGCAACAGCCGCAATAATACAGAATCAGAAGGCACGATAGTAGGATGTAGAATTTGGCAGACATGCCCAAAATTTGAAAACACAATACTCTCAGATAATAAGCCAAATTACTCGAACGTAAGGACATTCATTCATTCTTTTACGAACGCTGTTTTAGACTGTGAATTATTATAAATACAAAACAAATTAATGTCGCCATAAAAAAATCCTTCAAGACGCAAGGGGACGTAAAACAAATTCTTTTCTTATTTCAACTAACAAAAGAACACACGCG